AAGAACATTGCCCCCCTTATACAATTCTAGCATACACCAGAATTGAAGCCTTCTATTATGTTTTACTTATTGATTAAATCTTTGTCCTATACTAGATAATATAGAACCATATCCTATATTAAAATGACATGTTAATTTGTATCAAACATCTTATGAATATAAAAATAATCTTTGATCAAAAATTAAAATTTTCTTATTGTTCAAAATTTACTATGCATATGACTTTAGAAAGTAATAACAACCAACAAATAATTTATATATTTAATTCTATTTTTTATACCATTCTTTAAACTCAACTAAATACTATTCTATTAAATCTTTTTAGTCTACAATGATTTAATGTTTAGTTTTGAATGTTGTTTAATATTCTTAACTTTGACTTATATTGAAGTGATGTTTATAATAATCATTTAATGTATCTTAATTCAATTAATTAGATAAAAATTTAATAAATCTTTAAAGTTTATATAGATGTAATATGGTTTAGTTAACATTTTTTACAACTTTTTTGCCACTATTGTATTCACTCTTTTGATTTACAAGCATGTTTTAGATTTAATATTAAGCATAATTTTTCAAACTATGTAAATTCAAATTTTGCAATCATTTGGAAGTTAATTCTTTATCACTACCAACGATTACTTTTTCCATCAAATCCAATTATATTATTCATTCAAAAAAATTATATATATATATATATATATAGATATATAATAAATGAAGTAAAAACACAATTCCATGTGTGCAACTCTTGCCATGTTTCCACTTGAAACTTAGCAATAAAATTAACAGTTACTTTACTACATAATCTACTAAGTACATATCAAAAGAAAAAGAAAGAAAAAAGTTGAAAGAATACAAAGGAAAAAGACAAAAGAGCCAATTGAAGTCTAATCTGCATGCATCGACATCTGAATCACCGGTAACCCAACTTTTGGAGAAGCCGACTTTGGTTGGCCCTTCAAAACATATGATTTTTTTTTTTTTTTTTTTTTTTCGCGATAACTTTTTGCGAAGGCCGGTTCCAATCCACACGACTCGTACTGCAATACTTGAGAGATGAGCTCACTCACTTGGCGACGAAGTAAAAACAATAAATTCTCGGCGAAGGAAGAAAGCAAGGAAGGAAGAGAGCTCAGTCAGATCTCTCTCTCGTGGCTTCCTTCCTTCCTTCCGTCTCGTGTTGCTGCTGCTGCTGCGATCTGCGTGGCTCCATGCCGCTTTCGCATCGCAATCGCTGCGATGAACGTTGCCTACTTGCTGGAGGGGGAGATCGGAGCTACATGCGGCACGTCCGCATGGCACAAGACGGCACCAAGTGTGAGCTGGCTGGTTTGACTGGAGATAAGAAGAGGCTGTGGACCCCATCTCTGAGATTGCGAAATTCCAAAATGAAAAGGAGATGGGAGCTGTAAGATTTCGGTGACGACGACGATGCTCGAATCTCTGGGGACTTGAGTGGCACAAACTCCACAACCCACCATGCAAGAGGAGATTCCCTGAAGGCTAACCTCCGGTTCCAGGATGAATCGAGAGTGAAACGTGGTGCCGTAGCCCTAACATTGCATGGATTTGTTCGTCGTCACCTCCATCATAGAATCATCGTCACAGATCGCATCTGCAAATGTGCGAAGGAAAGGTGGCCCTTGACGTCCCCATGTGGATGCGTTGGAATCTGCTCCCCGCCTGGAAACCTCAATTGGCCCAAATTGCTTGGCACAGCTCGAGAGCTGACGGTGGCGCCGAGGATAAAAGTTGAACAAGCTAAAACACCATCAGAATCCAGATCAACGGAGCTATTAACGATTCTTCACGTCACCCAGGCGTGTCGCCCCTCACCTCTCGCAAATCGATCCCACGCCCTTTCAAATCCCCTCGTCTACGAACTCTTCGCTGTTGGATGTGGAAGCAAGTGAGGAAGATTCTCGTAGAATGCCCTTCAGGACCACAGCGTCACGCGAACGTACGAACGAACGCCGCTTTGCTACAAAATTTCGTTTTCTCTTCGGATGCTGAAAATATCATTCGAGCAAAGAGTTTTGTTAAACTAGAGTTCTAGTTATCTCAGAACATGCTTACCTTTTACCTCTATTATAAGGTGAAAACAAATATTATGATCTTCTAAACAAGAGAGTGAATAATTACTTTGTAGGGATTGGGTACGAGGATTTGGTCGGAAAACAGCAGAATCATTGAAAGGTGGCCTTACTTTGAGGGATCGTCCACCAAATATGGTGGATTCTCCGAACGGACCAAGAAGGTGGTTGATGAGTTTTTCTCTTTCTCCCCTCCTCGTTGCAAGAACTTTACCAATTTGGAGCCACGAAGAGGGGAACCCTGGCTGGGAATATTCTACCACTGAAATGGAGAATATTCTATTGTAGGATTCTAAAAATGAGCATTCTGGTTATCTCCGTTCCACTTGATTTTCTCCATTACTTCTTTGTCACTGGTGAGTTTCTTTGACTGTTGACCCACTCTGCATGGTTCACTGATTAGGGCAAATAGAATCACAAATAGAATCACAAATAGAATCACACGTCATGAACTGAAAGCTAAGTACTGGAATTCTATCGTAAAGAAATGCATGAAACGGTATCACGTTTTTATTAAGATAGAATGTGGAAGATAAATGACGATACAACAGCAACTTGAATGCTGAGGTGTTCCATCTCTTTCCTATTTATTTTCTTCGGCGCACTTGCCTGCCGAGTTGATTAAACTGGGATCATCCATGATTAGCAGTAGCTACTTATCTTGGTATGGTCTCCAACCCAGGAGCAGGGAGCTGACACGGACACAACTCTCTTGTTATTTAATTCATAGTCCAAATGCAGAAGATTCTATTGCAATTACCAGTGTCTCCAATGAGAGAATCGAAAACTTAACGTTTATCATGCTCTGATTAACAAAACATGTACCGAAAAAACATGAATAGTAATTGTTTCGCTCTAATCAAAACTTAGCTGTGCTACTCACACCAAGTGGATTTGAAAAATGACTACGCAGACTTTGAGCTAGTGGAGCGAGCTGAAAAAGCTGACATGAAACGTAACAAATCCTAAATGACGGTAGATGAAAACAAGATTCATAGTGCATACATATAAAAGGAAAAGAGCCTTGTTTCATAGTGAAAGGACCGAACCCCCATCCAATCTGGGAAGGTGAAGAATCACTAAAGAAATCAGTTTGGATATCTTTTGGCCTGCGGTACAACGTCAAGCTTTTTCGCTTCTGTTTATCTTTGCCAGGCCAGCCTTTTTCTCGGGGGCTGAAAAGAAAGGACCTGTCGACCACGCTGAGCCATGATGAAATCACTCTCTCTGGAGCCAAGCGGCTATCTTCCGCAGCACCGCAGGCCCACCGAACCCGATTTTTCTCTGTATGCTCCTGGCAATTTTGAAGCTTGGGCTTGGAATTGGTCGGCCATACGGTTGTGGAATGATGGGTTAAGATTGGAATGACCCCTGACAAGGCTTTCATTTCTTTCTCTGCTGCTGCTTCATCTCTCTGCTCTCCAGTGCTGCAAACAAAGCTTGGCCCTCCAGTTCGATGAGACAAAGCGAATTGAAGAGCAGCCACTGGTCTCATGTCTCAGGGTGAAGAAGCTGGTGGGGGCCTGCTCATCTGCACCCAAATGCGACAAAGTCTCTTCATGTGATCTCTTCAGGCACATGCGCCTTGCCCTCCCTACACAGTAAAAAAGTATCAACCCACAGTTAAAAGCTGTTCTTTTGGGTCATGTCTGTGGATGACAGTTTTGATCCGAGTTCGATATTTTGAACCCAACTTCGTTCTATACGGGACATTGGTAACAGTGTTAAGATAAGAACATGGAGATTTTATGGATTTCGATTGTTAATAATATTATTATATGTTGTTATTATCATCATCCTGGGCAATTTTAATTCCTTTGAGGTATCTTTGTTTCAATGGGATGGAGATTAGTGGTTGTGCAATCAACACAAACATCGAACCACTCGAACGTCACCAACCCATATACTCTTGTTTATTGTTAAAGAGCCACGTCTGAATGTTCTGCTTCTCAGTTGTTATGGTATCAATTTTATATGATTGACCTCTCAAAATCTGTGCATCCGAATTTATAGTCGATGTGTGGGCAAATTTGGTATATTTGCAGTGTGTTGACTATATCATAATTTGATTTCAGTTGATATGTGTATATATAGAATAAAATTTCCTCTTCAGAAACAGATTAAGGCCAAGTCACATGTCATGTAGGGGCAAACAGGTCGAGGATGGATCCAACAACCCTATGGAAAAGGACAATTCCTTCTATTACATGTTGTTTTAACAAGCATATCTGTACATCATTTTTATACATGTTCAATCGTGAGTAATTCGCCAAATAAAAAATAAGAATTAAAAAGAAGTTAAAAAAAAGTTAATATAATTTTAAAATCAACAGAAAGTGACAAGCAACATTCAATCAAAAAGTCTCTTGAAATTACTTCGTTTATTTCTTGTTCAGTATTAGGCGTTTGCTTTATTTTATATTTTAGATAAATCGAAAAAAAAATCACATGGAATATAACATCGTTTTACTACAAAACCACGATTCAAGTTCACATGCTAATCTAATGCATAACTTTGTCAAAAGAACATAACAAAATGAGATTTTTTATTTTTATTTTATTTTTTATATTTTTTGCTGTGGTGTCGAAAAGAAGTAAAGATCTCAGTCTAAGAGGAGGAGGAGGATGAGGAGGAGGAAGAAGAAGAAGAAGAAGGCACATGGAAGGGCAAGAGGGAAGAAAGCTCCTGAAGAAGGAGTCAGGCACTCAGCTCAGCTTGTCAAAGAGGCAACGGTGCTAGTAAGTGTAGTTGGCGGACAAAGCTGGGGTGGCTCATGTCTCGGTTGGATAGGGCGAAGACGGATGAATGCGAGTAAATATGGATGAATGTGGTGACAAGAGCCAGGGTGGAAGGGGAAGGCGGTTGCGGGAGGAACTGTTTTAATCGGGACGGGGACGGCTTGACATTTACGTTGGCGCCGGAGAGCGGGAGTGGAGATGATGGGTGCGACGAGAAAATACGGAGGCGTGAATTTGAAAGTGGAAATTGGGGGGAAGGAGGCGGAGGGAGAACGATTCGTGGCCTTCACGGCCGATTCATGATTGGGGAATGATTGTGATTGACAAGTATGCTCGCCGGCCCTTTAGATCGTGCGGGGGACTCGAGGGGTTGCATGCTAAGCGTGGGGCGGAAAAGGGAGAGTAGGGACTGAGCAACATGGCCGGCAGAAGGCACTAGGCTAGTGTAGGAATTGGCTGCGCGATGATGCGCAGAACGAAGCAACAGGACAAGAGCAGTACTAGTCGGTTGCGTGCGAGAGGGGCAATCGAAGTACAGGTGATGGCGACGGTGACAAAGACCCGGAGGCATTAGACACAAAGACTGGTGGATGGTGCATGCAGGGACGAGGAGGAGGCTGGGAAGGAAGACCTAATGCAAAGGAGGATGTAAACATGGGGCGGCGACTCCATCTGATGAACACGACTACTTGCAGACAAGGGATGTGGAATAAAATAGACACGGAGATTCTGTACCTGCTTGTGTGAAGTGTAGAAGGATTTTGCTAAGCGTACTTTAGAAACGGGCCGCCCGTTCTGAGCAGGCGGAGGGGAGTGATCACGTAGTAGGCGGAAGTGGAGCATCATCGTCAGTCCCGCCACGAGGATGAGGCGAGGGCGCCATGGTGGCGCTTACCTGGCTGAGGGTGGGCAATCCACCGTTTGGCGTACATGCTGCACTGATTCCCGGAGGGCGTTGAGATTCGCCAAGTATCCATCCAATCGTTGCTGGATTTGAAACCATTATCCAGAAAACATTCTTCCCTGTTAAGGTATTTTTAGGCCTGCAGCCCTTTCATCGTTATACACATATAGTTGCACCAACGACTCTGGCAAAGGAAGTGCGGATTGGATACTCAGGTATATTTTATTTCCAGCCAAGTTCTAACTGTTTTGCTTAGAGTTTCTTGAGATGCTCGCCCCCTCACCTTTGACCCCCCAACCACGCGGAAGCAGATAGTTCTAGATAGTGGAAGTTCAGGTAGAGTGCGTGGTAGTTGATTAGGAACATTATCGAGCGCGAAGCATCATAGTTCTCACAGTTTTGATGTTTGCGGTATGCGCGGGCTCACGCTGCCGGCTTCTCGGGAACGACTCTTGAATCTTCTTACGTCACCCGTGTGGATCTTGCCCAAATCCATCTTGTTCACCCTGTGACAATAATTCATGTTCCATATCAGACGATCAAGTGGTCATAGTTTATGTCAGCACGTTCCCACATATAACATTCTGCTGATCCTCACGGGTTTATTTCTAATGAATCTTCATATTTGTGTATGAGGGAGATCGTCACTGGCGTTTTTTTTTTCGTTTCGTTCAAGACTTCATTTCCAGCTGCGTTCAGCTTTGCACGATAGTTCTGGTTTTAAGGAAGGGCAGTATGTAGAATTCGGACACCCTAGAAGTCCTTGTATATTAGAACTCCGGACCAATCTAAAGATCATCTGGATTCGCTCCTGTTGGATTCAGTGTTCAACTCCCTGACTTTCATAGAGCTACGGTAATTGTGACCCAGTTTAAGCCGCTGAACTCTAGAGGTGTGTTCCACGAATGCCCAGGAAGAATGCAGACTCCAGCTTGTGTCTGCTAGATGCACATGTACTGGACGCACTTGAGTAAATTTCACTCATATCAAAAGCGCATTCAAAGCGAAATTGTATGATACGTGTCCGTCGAGAATATGGTAGAGGCATAGACGTGATTTTTTTTTTTTTTTTTCACTCTGCCTCCTTACTTGACGCAATTTGTCTGTTGGACAAGAACCGAATGCCATTCCTTAACCACTTTTCAGATTCATCTGTGACGCTTCTCATAGGACAAGTTGGATTAGTGGAGATTACTCCTTTTGGGTTTTTAGGTTGATGAACGGTGTCATTACAGAGTCACTCGATTTGAATCTTCATTCCTGAAGCCTCTCAACTAAGAACTCAGCAGTGCTGCTTGGGACAGCGATAGAATGAGGCGTATTTTTCTGAAGGGCCACTTGTTTCTATGACTACGCCTTCGCCACAAGCAGAAACTGGTTAGTATATCGTAGGCCGGGATCTGAGTTGCTTCCGTTCTACATCATACGCACCTCTCGTGGATGTAGTAAGGAGGTATCGTAGGCGAACCGAAATGTTTCCACTTAAGTTGTACTTAATAATTTAATTGTCTACCTTTGAGAGCTTTCCTCACCTCACTGGAACTACGAAGACAATAACTGACTGGCTTGTCCTTATCCTTGATTATCCTTCAGCAATGTTGGCAATAGCCACAGTGACCTCTGATTTTAGAGAAGGTTGGATCTTGGTAACATATTCTGGATGCTCCAGTGATATCTTGCAGATTTGTTGCGTTAATGTCCCATTCCCACTGGATCACGTGGTGTCAAACAACCTCCGCATCCGACAACCAGATGTAGTGTTTTGTAAAACCATGCACAATCGCACTATATGTCCGGAGTGCATGTTGTGGACAGTCGTTTAGCTTTGTTTAGTCACAGTGTGTCCCTGGAAGAATTACCTCGGGAACATGATGTTGATGATTGAACTAGATCCTTTTGAAACGTCGTTAATGTCGATATTGAGCCCTCTTTCAGGAAGGACGCATTCGCTAAACCTTTCTACTAGAGGCAGTTGCGATGAGAGGCCATGAAAGTCATGATGCAACAATTTCATTTGAGAGCATTGTTGGATCTCCCAACTCTGAAGTTCATAGAGCGCTTATACTTGCGAAAAGTAAGTACTTGCGAAAAGTAAGTACGTGCGCAACGATACGAGCATTTGTGAATTTCGGGCGGGCTGATATGCAAGTTGTATTTTACATCAAGCAATATCAGTACTGTACAACATGATCTTTAGTGAAGTTTCTGAGGGTTTAGTTGATAACTCAAAAACCATATGGAATGCTTTGGTTTGCAGGTCGTTTTCACGCTTGGATTACTGAGTGAGCGATCCACATTTTCAAGCTGGAATCTGACCTTGATGTTGAACGTTTATTAATGTATTCGATTCAGATACGGTCTTCGAGATTGCTGAGAAACAAGAATTGATTTGATCTTATCAAGGAAACAATGGATCGAATATCTGAAACAGTCATGAGCCGACCACTTGAGGCAATTGGCAAGACGAGCTCGACAGAAGTCAACGAGGTTGCATTGTTGGAAAATTTTCTTTCAATTCCAAGTATAGAAAAAGCGTGGACCAGTCCATCATGGAGAGGTGCGGACTTCGAAAACGTTTTGGGAAGCGTGCCCTCTGATTTCGTGTGATTTATCAGTTTCTCAACCCAATGATGCGAATTTATCTTGCAAGTTTCAAAGCGTTACCGGAGCGTAATTCCCACTCCTCCTTGTGTGTGGAGTTTTCAATGTCTCTCATATTAAAAAGCAAAAGTAGCATTGACAGTCCAGATATTCATGCTCGTGCAGTCCCAATGTTGTGGAAATTGCGCCCTTGGTTACGTAGAGTTCTCTTTGGCTACTCAGACTACAATTCAGTATCGTGAATGGAGAACGTTCAAGAGAGATCAGTTCTTATATATTTTTTGTGTGTAGTCTTTATCCTCTGTTAACTTTTGAGTGAATGGAAAATACACAGGAGACGATGGATTTGACGTGATGGTGACCATAAGCCAGATGAATATCTCTGCTAATGCGACACGGATATTCATGTCAACAGTATTTATTCCTGACGTTGAATCTGGGAACGTTAAAAATTGTCGCTGGGCACCATTTCCATTTGAGCTCAGTGGGGCTGCTCTTGTAGTTCCCTCGCCGTCGGGGACGAAATTACTGGTAGTTCGTAATGACGATGTCAAGAATGGAACAAGCCAGACTAAACTTGAGATCTGGGGTCAAGGACAGCTTCTCAAAGAGGTGCACGTTCCCGCGTCAGTGCATGGGTCCGTATACACGGATGAGTGGTACTGCCGATCGATCCTCAACTTCATTTCTTCTTGTCATGATCGACTATTTTAGATGAACGTCCCTATCCTTCAGTGTTGAGCATTTAAGAATTCAAAATTCAACCTAATTCCTAAGATAATGTATGTGTTTATTGCTTTGTTCACGAATCCATGCTTCATTCGTGTCGAATAAAATCGGGTTCTTTGCGAAGTTTGTAATATCAAACTTTCTGATTTTGACAACTTAATAATTAGAAAATTCATTTATAGGTTTCAAGGTGCTTCATGGAGTCAAGATGAGGATTACATTGCCTATGTAGCAGAGGAACCTGCAAAACCAAGACCGGAGTTTGGTCAAGGATTTCTTGGGGCAGGGGCATGGAAAGGACAAGGAGAATGGATAGAAGATTGGGGAGAGACCTACACTGGAATGAGAAGGCCCATCATTTTCGTAGCCGATATTGAAAGGTAAACTGGTGTATCTTACCTCTCCAGGAGAACATGACTTCAAGTAATTTGTGACATTTAAAGTGAATCTAGTTCTTCAATTGAAGCTAATGATTCTGGTATATTGATAAATAAACTGACGTAGATTCATTTACATTGAGCTCCCCGTTTAAATATACGAGCTCATGGTTCTGATTCCATCTTAGTTCTCAGTGGAGCTGTGCAAGTTGTGGAAGGCATTCCTGAAGATATTAGTGCCGGTCAAGTTGTGTGGGCTCCGCGAATGACCACGCGTTCTTCATGTCCTGCGGAAAAGAGTATACTGGTGTTCGTTGGTTGGACTTCCTACGCGTCTAATTTCAACTCACCAAGAAAGCTTGGAATGGTTTATTGTCAAAACAGACCCTGCCACCTTTATACTGTTGAGGCTCCAGTTCCTGGAAGGTATACAAACTTCTTCTTATTGGTCTTTCTTAAATCATACATGTTCTGCAGAGCAATTTATCTAACATGTTAGTTTTTACAGTGTACCTATCGTGATCCGAACTGGAGTTTTTTGTGTGTGTGATAGGTTGTCAATAAGCCTTCTTATAGATAATGAAACTTGTGTTTCAGAGATTGTTTGGTTCCTGCTTTACCAGCTGTCAAACTTACAGAAGGCATCAACAGCGCAGTGTTTCCACGTTTCAGGTTATTTCGATCTCCAGAATGTTTACGGCCTTTTCTTTTTCAGTTTTAAAATATTTTGGTTGGTTTTCTGCTTCTTTGCGCATATCATTCAAATTTTAGTAATTAGGAATTTAGAAGTATCTTGTAGAACTATAAGACTTACCCGGTGTGAAACCTCCAATAGAATTAGACGACATGATATTTATGAGGGGAGAGAGTAACTTTCTCTTGAGTCATTCCTGAGGTGAATCGTAACCGTCCAGATTGCTCTTCTTGTTTACAGTCCAGACGGGAAGGTGTTGGTTTTCTTGTCATGTGAAGCAGCTGTCAACAGCGGGGCACATGCTGCGACGAACTCACTGCATTCGATCAGCTGGTCATCTGGCAGGGTTTTGAGCATGCCCATGCAGATCAATGATGTGGTACAGTCTCCGACCTCGATCAGGCTTCTCTTAACGTAGATAAATGTTCATGTCATTTTACTGAACCTGGGTGTAAAATTTAGCTGCTACAAGTCCCTAGAACATCTTTATTTCTTGACATATTTAACGCCTTTGCACAAAGCCATGACCAGTGTTTCCTGGATCTTTTAGTACTTCTTCAACCTTAACAAATTGTTTAGATATTTAAGACCACCGTCTCAATGGAAGAATTCAACGAGCTTTGAGTTTCGTTCTCCTCCATGTCTAGAAAGCTAAATATGCATTATTTTCCAGGTCAAGATTGTGCAACATCCGGACAACGATGGTTTCCCAGGTCTGTATTGCTCAGATCTCATTGCCAACCCGTGGTTGGCTGACAGCTGCACATTGCTCCTTACTTCAATGTGGCGGAGCCAAGAGGTTATTCTGGCTATTAATGTTGAAAGGTTAGTACAATCCAAATGATGAGCTGCTGATCCTATTCATGGGCATTTAACATTTTAAGAGTGGGATGTGCTTTGATTCCTACAGCCATGTTAAGTGCTGTTAGTGATTGTAAATTGTACATTCGGCCAATTAAACAGAAGTTTTACCTTCAATATTTGCAGTGATGTCAGATAATGAAGCTAAGTAGCTCTGAGTATATTTAACAGTCTGATTTTTCGATTGTTGATGCAGCGGCAATGTGGAAAGAGTCACTTCTTGTGCTTCATCATCTTCATGGAGACTACTTGGATTGCAATCTAGCTCCTTGCTAGCAGGTAACTTTGTGCTCGCAATCATTCGTGTACTTGCTTGATCTGTATGATGTTGCATGCCAATTTTTCTACTATGGATTTGTACTGAATTGAATTAGTTCTGTTGTGCATAGTTACACTGCTGATTTAGTTTGTTTCTTTAATTTGTTGCTACAATCCCTCCCCTAAGTTGATGAATATACTGCAGAGAATTTCATCACTTGTGTGATTGTTAATTCAAGGTTTACTTGTTATTTCTGACGAATAGTTTCGTTGATTTATGCCTTCTGTTGGGGGGATGATGATTTTTGTAGTTGCAAGCTCCCCGCATGAGCCAGATATCTTGATGCTAGGTAGGCGAGTCGAGACTAACAACGATTGGAGCTGGGTTAATATTAGTGTTCCGTCTCTTAAACTTCCGAAGAAGGTTCGTACTGTCTCAGATGCTTCCAACCTGGATTTTTTGCTATGAAGTTTCTTTTCTTTTCTTTTGGAACGCATGATGCATTCATCTGTAAGGAGCACACGATGCGCCGTGTGCACAGAAACTGCAATCCTATCAATCGTGATAAAAGCAGCTATTCCAGGAATCCAGTGTACAGTAGTGGCCATGCACATTTTTAGATAGGATTAACTTAATCTCTTCTGGAATTGGTCACCAAATTACCACCGCAAATCACTGGTTCAGTATAAATGTGATTACATCGTCATGCTATCCTTCGAAAGCACGGTGAGGTGCAATCTCAAGGTCATTCATTGATTGAAGTTTTCCGTAAGCGGCGTGACTGGTGATGAATTGTGTTGGGTTACGTGGTGCAAATCATTCCAGCAGCATGATATCTCTAATCCAATATTGTTTTTACTTATTCCACTTCGAGTACACAGTAGGATATGACTAGTCTCGTCTTCCAGGTGGAAACATCACTGAAGGAGATGCTGTACAAAATCATTCAAATTCCCGTTCCCAGTACAGAAGTCGGTGATACTCTAGCTGAAGGTACGCTGGAAGCTCACGGTGGTTTTATAGTTCCTCTACCTACTTCAATCATGTGCCATTAAGAATATCTGCTCATAATCAAAGAGTACTACAGCATTGTAGTGTTTCTGAAGTGTTTGCAAACATGCAGGAGCAAAGCAGCCGTTCGAGGCTGTTTATGTTTCTCGGAGGAAGGGGACGGTTACAAAGTCCCGTCTTGGACGTGGGGGCGGGTCACAAAATAAAATTCCTCCACTTTTGTTGATTTTACACGGGGGTCCTCATTCCATAGCACAATCAAGCTTTTCGAAGCCGGCAGCATTCCTTTCAGCACTTGGATACAACCTACTATATGTGAATTACAGGTGCTCTGGTGCCACCATATTTAGTATCGGTTTTCTGATCCTCAATGCAGATTGTTGAATACATGTGTTTCGTGGCGATGCTTCTGGTATGCATTGAAAAATCAATAACGCAAAAATATAAGTGGTACTCAACATAATCTGAATCGTGCAGAGGCTCAGTTGGGTTTGGGGAGGAAGCATTAAGTTCTCTTCCTGGAAACATCGGTAGACAGGTGACATTTGAGTTAACAATCGATTGACTATACTAGTTACTTTGTTTTGACTGGACCAATTAAGAGTAGCTGCATTTTTATGCCATTTTACATTTCACACTTTCAGATGCTGTACGTGTCTTGAAGACCGTATAACGGTCGCACCTGCTGTATATTCCTGATTGTCGACGGTATGTGTTTTAGGATGTTGGGGACGTGCTTGCTGCACTGAATCACGTCGTGAAAAACGGGATGGCAGATCCTAATAAGGTTTCTGTAATGGGCGGTTCCCATGGGGGATTCCTGGCGTCACATCTTTTAGGGCAGGTCAGTGAATACCGAGTTTTTTTGTCCCTTCCTATTGACGATGAGTTTCTCGCTTGGTTAGATTTGTCGGGATTTGGTTGTTAGTTCACAGGAAAAGTTAAACGTTATATCCTTTAGTATCCCGTGTAGAGTCATCAGGAAATCTGATCCACACTTGGTAAACAATTGCTGGTTTTATGTATGCAGGCACCAGATAAATTCAGAACCGGTATCTTAAGAAGTCCCGTCTGTAACCTTGCTGCAAATGTAGGTACCTCTGACATACCTGATTGGTCTTACTTCGAAGCGTTTGGAAAGGAAGGCCTTACCACCTACTCAGAAGTACCTTCTGCAAGTGACCTGAGCGTCCTCTACCAATGTTCACCTATAGCCCATGTTTCCAAGGTAATAATTTATTCTTGCCCTTCTAGAATTGTTATGAACCAAGAGAATGTATTTATCTCCGCAATATAGAAAGTAACTTCAAAAGGGATATTCTCAGGATGTCTGAGGTTTTGCTGCAAAATTGTATGCTTGACTTCGGTGAATGTCTTTCACCTAAGACTCGTAACTAACCTCTCGAATCCTTGCAGGTGAAAGTTCCAACTTTGATCATTGTGGGAACCCAAGATCGAAGAGTACCTGCAATTTCAAATGGACTACCGGTAGGTTTGAATATTCAATAGCTGTGATTGTCTTCAAATGATCAGTCACAAAACTAGGAACAGCCTTTCTGCTATGCTAACATCGGTCAACTGCATAAATTGGTGGAGCCGGGTCCAGTTTCTGTCGTCATTATATCTTCTTTCTTATCAATTTGAGCTACTTCGTATTACAGTATGCACAAGCCTTGCGGGCAAGAGGCTTAGAAGCTAAGGTTATTTACGTTCAAGATCGGCACTCTTTAGAAAGGTAATTTTTTCTGTGTTTCCTTATCCTGGTGCCCTTCATTTTGTTCACAAATGTAAGAGAAAGAAACCAAACCATCGTGTTTCAACTTGGCCCAACGATGAAGGATTAGCAATGGGCTCAATCATGGAGTTCATTTACTCTTACTGATATTTTTGTGGTTTGGGTTCATGCATATGCAGACCTCAAACACAATTTGAAGGGTACTTAAATGTCGGACTCTGGCTCAAGAGGTTCATGTAACAATACATGACGGGGAAGAATCTCCTGTGTCTGTATACGATGTTTATAGAAACTGAAGAACATGGCCCTGGCGGTATGTCCAACCTGATCAACATGTCGAACTTCCGTGCAGCAGAATTCCACAAATGCTTTTTTTACACCTGAAACAAAGTAGTCCGTGGTCACTCGCGTATCTCCTTCATAACAAGCAATTCAGGTGCCTTGATATTTAAAGAAGTCGATTTTATTTGAAGGGAAGTTGGAGGACGGAAGGGGAAACACACATATACATTTTTCTACGCTAGTAGGGCTGGTTTAGATTCCACCCTTTAAGATATCCAAGATAAAGTCAAACATGAGTTTAGCAATATATTGAACTACCCTTACTTGATTTGTAACCATGTATCATACCTTATCTTAGGTTTGTCACGGAGCTCAAGTGTGACCTAAATTTGGGCATTCTGTTCCAAAAGAAGCACGCAGCCCTAATCTAATGGCATCAAGCTTCTCCGCAGGTTCATGCTGAAACCATCGTTCTGTATGTGTTGGAATATTGATCAGTTTACTGCCACATCCTGTGTAACACTGCTGTCGTTACTAATGATGCCGTAATATAGCAAGCTCTCGACTGTACCGTGAACATTCTATACCATGACGAGTTTTTCACTAATGTTGAGAAACTCGAGTAGACGGAATGCAGCTTTACTGAAGGGCATTGGATCCGCCATCCAACCATGACATTTTTATAATGAGACCAATCAGCCAGGGAGTACTGATCAGAACTGAATCCCACAATGTTGCAGTTCTCCAACATTGTATTTCAATGTGACTCGGATACTGGTGGATGAATCGATGAAACAACGGCGCCAAGCACTGCAGGACATCGGACACGACCCGAGGTGCGATTGACGGAAAGTAACTTTCTACACGCAGGCTAATCAACAATTCTCCGTCCATCGCACAAGTGGCTTCGAGTTTTGTAGTGTTATTATAACTGCGAGACCAGCACCAGAGCCGAACAGAAGCACTGCGGCCCTAGTTCCATTGTTTCATCCATATAGTCCATCACGAAACGCTGTGGAAACTAGAGTCCGATGACTCGCCTTCAGGGCAGAGGGACTGTAACCATCGGACCAAATCGAAGATTCGATCCGAGGACGACGGGACTGCAGATATTTGTAACTAGCAGGTGCTGCGTTCCACCTGTATTCTCAGTGGAGCGTCACGTTTACCTGGCCCGGCTAAGTCCTATTGGCTATGGAGCTGACGTGGAAGAAGATTGGGTCGGCCTGGATCGAGCAGGGCGGTGAAGACAAATCTCTGTCACCCTCACGTTGAGCTCCCCATCCTGTAAGAGGAGGGCTTGACAAGTACCCAGAGAAAAGACTTGTCTGCGATATTGGGCTTTGTGCTTGACCAAGATTGGTGAAATTTATTCAAAACCAAACCTTGTCGATTTGTTTCATTACTCCTCACATTATGGGGGAGTAGAGTAGGGGATACAAAACCATGCGCTTTTATTATAGACAATGTAACATCCTCAAATGAAAGGATAGAACTGTCTTATTTTCTTAGAAAAAAATTAATGGTGGTAGGCTGGTTGGACTAAGGTAGACCTCCATCTTCTTGTATGAAATACTTTTTGTAATTCTCTATTGTTAACAATGGTTGCTATTTTCAAGAACATCAAGATGTCTTGAGCTCACTCTAATAGAAAATATTGGTCCACATCAATTTATCCACTTTCTTTTCTCCACCCCTTGCCCCTACTCTACTGCCCCACAATGTGAGGAGTAATGAAATATTCGACAATTTTTGGTTTCGAATGACTTTCACCAATCTTGGTCAAGCACAAAGCCCAATCCCAATGTTGCAGGCAACTCCAACTTTTCTCGGTACATTTTCTAAAAATAAAATCACATGAATTTGAGATTGATTTATTTAAAATTCATAAAGTTTAATTTAATTTTTTAACATAGCAAATGTATAAATTGGTTGCCTATTGATATTTGGACTATACTTGTATAGACTTTTAAAACTACTTCAATTTTTTATTCTACATTGTGGAATTTTAATTTTAATTTTTAAATCTAAAAATATTAAATTAATTTTTTATAAATTTTCTATTTCTTTTGTATATTTTTCATTATAGAACTACAAATAAATTTTATTTGTTGCAACAATGTTTGGACAACCTTATTATTGCACCTTGCTACGAAGTTCAAAGGACAGCAGCATGTGTTATAATAAGGACTTTTTAAGATGAATTTATTAATTGATGACGTAAAAGAATAATAATTATTTTAGAACTTAGATTTGAATTTTTTTACTAATTACAACACTATCAACTTGCAAAATATTTTTAAACATTTTAATCTCTTAGTAAAAATTTTTAAAAGCTTCTATAGAAGTTTTTATAAAACTTATTTCTTACAAAATAAATAAGAAGTAAAACTAGGATGCATCTCAATTGTGTCAATATGCTATGTACAAAAATTAATGTATTACAATATTTTTAGTTTAATAGCCATTCTTAATATTAATTTAACTTATTATTTCTTTAAAAAATTAATTCATTTATGATATATATATATATATATATATATATATGGAGAGTTCTTAAAGTTACATCCTAATATTGTTAAAGCCACATCCCCCTTACCATCTCATAATTGATTCCATCCATCTCCTATCTGAATACTTTGTTTCTGTTTTCTTATCTCTATTCTCCTTCGTTGTTCCATATCTCCCATCTCAACCCTCCTATATCTCTATTTCTATCTCTTATTTTTTGTTCCATGTTTCATGTCTCAATCCTCCCATATCTCTATTTCTATCCCTTGTTCTTTGTTCCATGTCTCCTGTTTCAACTCTCCCTTGTTCTTAGTTCCTTGTCCTCATTTTTTTCTCTCACTCTTAGTCCCATGTCCTTGTTCTCTTATTTCAGTCTTTTTTCTTTCTCTTATCTTATGTCTCCATTCTTGTCTTCCATTTTTAATTCCATGTCCATGTTCTCCTCCTTTATTTCTTGTTCCATGTTCCTTGTTCCAAACCCCCTTCGTCTCCATTCTCATCTTTTGTTTCTAATTCCTTGTTCCTATTCTTATCTCTCATTTCTAATCTCCCATCTCCATTTTCCTTCCTCATGCTATGTCCCTTATTCCAAATTCCCTTTCTATCTCCATTCTTGTCCATCATTCCTTCTCTCCTAATATTTCTTTTATTCAATTAGCATAAACTAGTATACTCCATCTTCAATTCTTTCAAGTTCCTTGCATCATAATATATTGAATAATTTATAAAACCTTATAAAAAATTCTTGCAAGATCTTTTTAACACAATTAAAGACTTGATATATGTATCCAATACTAAAGAAGATAAAACTCTAATTCTTACACTATTGATAGTAGAATATCTAATTTTGACAATAGTGGTCAAAAAAGAAACATAATAAAAGTTAGTCAAAACTATAGGTCTACACAAACTTCTTAAATGTATCTCTATTTTAATTTTTTTTGCACCATGCATGAGAACAAGGAATGAGGGATGGAAAAAAGAAGGAGAAGGAAGGGAGGAGAGAAGAGAATTTGGACGAGAGACAAAGCAAGAGGGAAGAAAATAGAAATAAAAAACAAGGGAAAAAAACAAAGGTATGGAGTTGGGAATGGGAGATAGAGATGGAAAATAGATGGCATCAATTATGAAATGGTAAGAAGGGGTGTGGATTTAATAACATTGAGGTGTGGCTTTAATAACATTGGGTATGGCTTTAACAACTCTTTCTTTCTTTCTTTCTTTTTGTCTCTCTCTCTCTCTCTCTCTTTCTCTTTCTCTCTTTCTTATGCTATATCTATATATATATATATATATATATAGAAATAAATGTACAACTATTTGATGGTAAAGTCTACAAAATTTACTTATGATTTCAAAATATACTACAAGATTTTATATCATTTTTATAAAATATTAGTATTATAAATGCCAATTAGAATTATTATTGAAAACATATTTATAAAATTTAATTTATATTATATTTAGATTGATCTTATGCAAGATAAGTTTTCAACATGTTCTTTTAAAAACTATGTATTTTATTGTGGTTGTTATATTAATAATTTTTAAAATTTTAATAATTTTATAAAATTAATTAAAATATCTCAGAAATTATTTTAGTAATTTTTTAAATAAATATAAAATTTAAATAATAAAATATAAAAACATAAAAATTAAAACTAAAAAAACTTAATTTTTTAATATAATTTAGAGTTATAATAAATTAAATATTATATAGTTTTTATATCAATAAATTAAATAAAAAAAAATTAGATTTAAAAAACAATGCATATTAATTCTAAAGCATTTAATTTGTGATGTACAATAAATACATTAGAATATCTTTAGGTAGTTTTAAAGATCCATCTTATCTTATTAATATTAGTAGATAACTATTAGTCATGTAGACAAATTTGACTAAATTATCTAATGTTAGAGAGACATATATAATTACTCAGATAAGAAATATTAGGTAGAAATTAAATGTAGGTAGAATTTGATAATATCTTATGGTGAAGCTTCTTAGAATCTTTATAATTGCAAATTTGATTTTAGACATGTTTGAAAACTTAGCCAATAAGTTGGCTACAAGTTGCACATCTTGGTAGCTTGTCATATAAGTTGGCCATATGGCACATATGTAGAAAACTTGTCTTGCAAATTAGTCACATTTTTTTTAAGTTGAACACGTATTGAAGATTCTATAAAACATTGCTACATAATTCCTAGTTAGATAGTCTATATGGACTAAAGAGTGAAGCCTTCTTCACTCTTATCAATGCCTTTTTTGTTCTTTGTCTTGTTTCTAGAGTTTCTAATCTTCTTATTGTTAGAAATAGCCTTTCTTATTTCAATATTATACCATCTTTGATTGATTATGTATTCTTTTTGAATGACACTAGAATATACTAAGGTTTTATTTATTTCTGATTCATATCATTGACATCTAGTTATTGGTCTTTTCTAATTCATCTAATAATTTTTTTTTTAAAAAGCTTTAATTTATTATTTATTATTTTTAAATATTTTTTAGCTTAAAAAACATATAGATAAATTAAATATTTTTCTACTATTTGATAATGTTCTTTAAAATTGACTTTACTTCATCTTAAAAACTTCAATATTATTTCAAATATTATTAAATTTAATAATTTTTAAAATAATATTCTAAAAATTTAAATATTTATTTTAATTAAAAATATTTTAAAGTATATTGGTATTTTTTATTGATTAAGAAGTAACTACTAAAATAATTTATAGTCATTATAAACTATAATATATTTTTAATAATTATTTATTATTTAAGTCTTATATTGATATTATGTATGTATATATACATGTATATGAATTATCAAAATTATAATGCATATATTAATATAGATTGATTTTATTATTGTAATATTTAATTTTTTATTATTGTTGTATTCATTGCATCATCTTATTTATACATAGATAATAAATTATCATAAATATATTTAATTTATTTCATGTTATATCTTATTACTATAAAAATAA